AAGACTCGGCAGTATATGTATGGGCAATCATAGATTACATTGTAACTTTGGATTCGTTCCTATTGAGCTCTTATCGGGTAGTTCGCCAAAAGAAAGTATAAGCCAATCGGGTTGTGTGTGCGTAGGGGGGAGGGCGGTCAAATCGATGAGAACAGCCTTAGTTACTGTCGATGTTAGAAGGATAGACCAGCGTTTCCGCTGGCTAGCGACTCACCTGCAAGAACTGACCCTGCCAGTAGCCTAATTTGGTGGTCCAGATGGCTTTGGTGAAGAAAATACACTCGTTTTCGGCATAGCTTTATCACGTGTGCATCAGGATTCGGATTTTCTGCTGGAGATGAATCAAATCTCGCACTGTCTCGAGACAGCCGAACTCTCGCGAGCATCGAGCACAGGCCGGTAACGTCCTGAAGTTGACCTATTGCTGACCTCTCAGATATGTACTCCTGATTATCCACGTAGAAGCACCGTGTTCACCCACGGAGCTATTGGTAGCTCCATGGTTCAACGTTACTCTTGGCATAGTAATACTGTTCTCAGCGTTTCTCTCAGGATGTGGAGAGCACATCTCAGCACAGTATATACCATCTAACGCCGACCATAGTTTTCTATTAACTACTGTAAACGCTGTCTGTCACCGGTGGAGGGGGATGGGTCTACTCATTCACTGCCCCCCCCTCTCTAGAACTTGTGAACGGTGAATTGTATGGCCAACAAATTTATATGGGGTATGGGGTACAAGTAAATCATAAAAACAATTATTCCATCTTAAATGACATTGTGATGCTATTGCAATTTTAATTATGATTATAATTGCAAAGTTAAAAGAGCTTCATATTTGGTTCTCGAGAATAACAGAGATGTCACCGAGACAAGTGTACTCACATCAATCAAATCTAGTATCAGAGACCAGTTTAATGTTAAAAAATAAAGGCACTCTATATGGTTCAGATTGTTTGGCAACTCAGTTTGACAATTATACTAATATAATTATACAAATCCTGAACTAATATGATTTTATCACATTTATCCAAGAGGCGAGTATTCGTATCCTCCCACGTCCCTGAAGTGGTTCTTTTGAATAAGAAATATTAGACAACGAAACGTTTTGTTCCATTGTTCTTCAACCGTACAGGGCCGTATCCTCCGCGGCAGAGTTGTTCAAAGCACGGTCAGACGAATTGCCCTATCCCGAATGTCAATCACAATCAGAAGTTCAACCAATGAGAGAGTGGCCATTAGCGGTTCGGCCAATGAGAGAGTGACTGCAAGTCCGTCAACTATTTGCATTTCGATGTTTTGACGGAAGTGGGCGGGGCTTCAGGATCGGTCTATATTGCCCGGAGACCCTCTCTACGTCAGTCGACCGTGGAAGAATTTCCACAAGACACTGTGATGTCACAATTAGTGTTCGGAAAATCTTGACACAGCCCGTGGCCCGATCTTGATGCTAACGTTTGCTTGATTGACAGATGGAAATCCAAGTCATCGGGGTCACATGTCTTGTTGAAAGTGAACTTTGGCCGTACCCGATCTCTGTCGTCTGTTGACATAGAAATTACACATTTTCATTAATCGTTTCCTCGCGATATGATTCATGATTAAAGGTTTTGAAGATTTTTTTGGGTCGAATTGAGTATGACTTGTTAAACATGATGTTCTAGACAAATATGATGATTTCATTCACCATTATAGTTACGTTAAATTGTCATAATTGATATAAAAATCCTCGTTCGTATCCCCAGCATGCTACGACGAACATTACTGGTATTCTGTAATATGCTGGGAAACAACGTCATATGAGCACTACTTAACTGAGAAGTACAAAACTACTCAGATATTCACTAGATATTCAGTGCAACTTACTTCTGCAGACTACATCTTGTTCAATTCTCGCGTCTATCCAGGTTGACGAAATGGCCATGTTGCACTCAAATGTGTTTTTTCTCTTGTGGATTTTGCCCTCCTTGCAGAAGAGCGTGCATCTCTCCATTAGGTCCTCTTCGTGGCAGACAATCGCCCCAAACTCTGGTGGCTCGATAATGGGGCATTCTACACAATGAGAAACATAACAACATAACCACGTATTTTTTCACATACGAGTAAATAAATAGTACAGAGTTACTTGTCGCTTCTACTTCGCTGTTGGTATGAGTGAGTGAGAGTTTGAGTGAGGGAGTGAATTAATGAATGGATGAGAGTGAGTGAGTGAGTGAGTGAGTGAGTGAGTAAGTGAGTGAGTGAGTGAGTGAGTTAATGAATAAGTGAGTGAGAGAGATTGAGTGAGAGTGAGTTATTGAGTGAATGAGTTAGAGAGTGTTAGTGAATGAGGGTGAGAGTGAGTAAGTGAGAGTAAGAGAGTGAGTGAGTAAGTGTGTAAGAGAGTACGTGGGTCAATGAATGAAAGAGTGAGTGAGTGAGTTAGTGAGTGTGAGTAAGTGAATGAGTTAGTGAATGAGTTAGTGAGAGAGTGAGCGTGAGAGAGAGAGTGACTGAGTGACTGAGTTTCCGTCAGGTGGTGATCGCTGAGCGACCGTAAAGCAACAGGAGTTGGATTTGAGTGACCCTTTCTTGATTTCAGTATTGGAACATGAAAACTGTTCCTCGTTTAGAAAATCTGTCAAACTTTAGGACACTAGTAGTCGCTCATTGGTCACAGTCTCTAGTATATGGCTGTGCTACTGGTATTTGTAGACTGGGTGACAAATAAATGACTATTAGATCGTGTGGCGTCGGGTGGTGTAGTGGTTAGAGCAATCGACTATGAACCGGGGAGACTCGGGTTCGATTCCGGGTCGTACCCGGTACATGTCTGAACATGCGCCCCGACGTTGTGCCCTTGAGAAAGGCACTTTACACGACTTTCCTCACTCCACCCAGAATGGGTGGAGTGAATGGGTACCTAACTTCGGTTGGAGAAAGCCGTATTGAGGTCATCTTGTGGCGCCGAATGGCAGCCGCACAGACCCTTGCGACAGTTCCACAAAATAATTGTTTGTAATTGTTGTGATTTGTATTGATTATGTGATACCCTGCATCAATTCAGTCGTATAAAGGCTGCGACTGCACGGGTACTGTTTGGACAATAAAAACCATTTATTTATTATATTAGTAAAACTTGTTAATTACTACGCTTTAAAGATCTCTTGTGCTGTCTTACCGTACTTCTTGCAGTAGAAAGTGACGTCACATCCAGCAGACCGACTCCCCGCCATGTCCGTTGCATAACAGGTAACAGACCTCGTCTCTCCAATTCCAATACGACCAATTGTAGTTGGCGTGCACTGTTCCGACTTAATCCCGACGTTGTCCCGAAACCAGGACTCTATCGTGCTGCTGTTGTAGTAGTCATAGAGCTTCACATCACGACAGCTGTCTCTTTCGACAGTCTGACTATTTGTTGGGTAGCTTACTGGTTGTGGGACTGTGTGGTCTGGACAAATACATACACAGGAAACTTTTAGTGATTCAACAAAATGTACCTCGACTTTCGTAAGGTTAACTACGAACTTCAAAATAAATCTTAAAATTCTACTTAATAATAGTAAACAATAACTAAATAAGGGCTAACATTGATAAATCTGTGATATTTTGTCACATGCAATCAAATGGCTTTAGTATGTTTTCTAAAAACGAAGTAATCTTTCATACACCCACGTGTGTTTGCAATGTGATAATCAACATTGAGGTGTAATGACAACCAATTGATATTCGATATACTGACTGCCTTTAATTATGCGTTCCTATCTATGTAAATTTGAAATATTTCATACTAGACAAAATGCAATATTGCAGAAATTGTACATGCAGATAATGACCATTCAGTTACTAACATACCTTCGAGAACCACGCTAACATCACAGGTATCGTCGCAGGCCCTAAACCTCACGAGTTGGAACACGTATGGTGGCTCTTGGTCTGGACCGACTTCGTACTTTGTAATCGGGTACTTGACGTTCTCCGAGGCGGCTATTTCCACCTCTGGTGTGATTTCATTGGAATCAGCGTCAGTAGCCGCGATGTAGTCTCTGAAGTTGACTTCAACGAAGTTTCGATTCTCAGGTAAGGGTATCTCGACGACTGTGCTTGGACAACGTATGAAACTGCAATTGTTCTGACCTGCACAGTAAAATTTTATCAACAATATTTTAATTGTGTTTTTCAGGCTTATATGGCCCATATTGACAAACACACATAGAAAAAAATATTTGAAATATTACTACATGTAAATATTTACAGTTTATTGTAGACTTAAAACAACAATGACTGTTACGTTATAAGTTTCTTTGGTATCTTAAATTTTTACAGTGATGATTTGTGTGGAGCATAGTCGTATATATAAAAGATTACAAGACATATACATCATGTCAAAATATGAAGATCGTATATATATTGCTACAAAGGTGATTGTACAGTGAGTATTCATGGTTGTAAAAGTAATCTAAGAGCATTTTTTTATTTATTTTCTGTGAACATTCCAGTGTTCGCATTGAACAAGAACAAGTATATGATGTAAGCCTTTGGAGAAAGAAGTGGACTTTTAGCCTCCTTTTTTGTCTAATCATATATTAACCTATCCTTCATGTATATATACCAATCATAGAAAAACGTGTCTGTGCAAAATGTACCTACCAGTAACTCGGGGGGTGCTCACGGGTTGTCTTGATGTTGTACTATTGGCTGGTGTTGCTGTAGCTGTGAAACTTGTATGCAAACCGCTAACTGTGGTTCTCGTTGATGCGCTTGTTGTTGCCCTATCCACAATTGTTGAAGTGGCAGTTGAACTTGTACGCAGATCGCTAGCTGTAGTTCTGGTAGTGCTCTGAGGGATTTGGGTTGTTGCCTTCTCTACAGTTAGTGACGTGGCGGTAGAATTTGCCTGTAAACCACTAGCTGTAGTACTGGTGGTTCCTTGTATAGTTTCGGCTGTGGACCTGCCCGCGGTTGATGTTCTGGTAGTGGCGTTTTCTGCTGTTCTCAGCGGTTGTGTTGTTATGTCGTTAATTGGTGTTTCAGATGTGGAACCTGTATGTAAATCACGAGTTGTGGTCCTAGTGTCTCTCTGTAGAGTTTGAGTTGTGATCCTTTCCACAGTTGTGGCGGTCGAACTTTTTCGTAAATCACTGGCGCTGGTAATAGTTGCTTCTTGTAGAGTTTGCTTCGCAGTTCTGGATACCGTTGATGTTTCGGTGGTCCTCAGTGGCTGGCCGGTTGTTGCTGTAATGTCGGCTCTTGTTGTGGCTGTAGAACCTGTATGTGCACCGTTAGCTGCGGTGCTCTGTCGATTCGGTGTTGTAGCCCTGTCCCTGGAGGTCGTGGTTATTGCGGATGTGGATCTTGTTTGTAAAACACTACCTGTACGTGTTGTTATTGTTGTTCTCATTTGAGTTTGACTCGTTGCTTTTACCAAAGTCGTTGTGTCGACCGTGGACGAATATCCACAAGACACTTTGATGTCACAATCAATACTAGGGAAGTCTTGGCACAGCCCATGGCCTGATCTTGTTAATAACGTTTGCTTGATCAGCAGATGAAAATCCAAGTCATCGGGGTCACAATTCTTGTTGAATGTGAACTTCTCATACCGAACGGTACCTCTGACGTCTGTTGACATAGAAATTACACATTTGTATTAATCGTTTCATCAAAAACATAATAATTTCATTCACCATTATACGTTGATTTGATCTAACCATCAAACCTCTTCGGTAGATATAACACCAGCAGGCCAGAAGGAACATTGATGGTATTTTGTAATATCCTTGGAAAACAACGTCATTTTAACACTACATAAATAAGGCATTCAGTGCAACTCACCTCTGCAGACTACATTATTGTCAATGCTCGCGTCTGTCCAGGTTGACGAAGGATTGGCCAGGTTGCACTTGAAGGTGTTTTTTCTCTTGTGAATTTTGCCCTCCTTGCAGAAGAGTGTGCATCTCTCCATTAGGTCCTCCTCATGGCAGACGATTGCCCCAAACTCTGGTGGTTCGATAATGGGGCACTCTACACGATGAGAAACAGCATAACCATGTATTCTTTCAAATACATTAACAACACAGTTGTTATTTGTCACTTATTCTTCGTTGTTGTGATTTGGCCCCCTTTTCCTTGCCCCAACGGCTGACTAAGCTATGGGAGTGAGTGAGGGAATATAAGAGAGTAAGTGTGTGAATAAATAAGTTGATGGGTAAGTCAATAAATGTGTGAATGAGAGTGATTGAGTAAATGAGTGAGTGAGCGAATGAGTGAATAGGTAAGGGAGTGAGGGAGTAAATGAATCAGTGCATGAGTGAATGCGACACCAGTAGCTGCTCACTGGTCACAACCTCTAGTGCAGATGGCTGTGCTACTGGTATACGCCGCACAGACTAAGTACTTTTTTGATTACCATGCTTGAAAAATCTCTTTTATCTCTTTCAGTAGAAATGTAACTTGACACATATAAAGTGATTATTTGATGTCTTACCGTACTTCTTGCAGTGGAAACTGACGTCACATCCAGCAGACCGACTCCCCGCCATGTCCGTTGCGTAACAGGTAACAGATCTCGTCTCGCCATGTTCAATGTGATCAATTGCAGTTCGCGTGCACTGTCCCGAATTAATCCCGACGTTGTCCCGAAACCAGGACTCTATCGTGCTGCTGTTGTAGTAGTCATAGAGCTTCACATCACGACAGCTGTCTTCTTCGACAGTCTTACTTGTTGTTGGGCAGCTTACTGGTTGTGGAGCTGTGTGGTCTGGACAAATACATACACAGGAAACTTTAGTAATTCAACAAAAAGGTCAACTACAAACTTCAAAATAAATCTTAAAATTCTACTTAGCAATACAAAACAATAACTGAATAAGGGCTAACATTGATAAATCTGTAATATTTTGTTACAATCAAATGGCTTTAGTATATATACTTTTGCCAGAAAACTTTTACAATCACCCGACTACCGGCATTGGTTCACTCCCCGCCATAGGGACATCAACGGACGTACAACACGGTCCAGTAACCAGATAGACTACTTTAGAACAAGAACCGAACGCTTTAGAAACAGCGCATTACCATGCTTGGTTAAGTTACTGAATAACTCTGAAACGGCAATGTAAAAGTGATCTGTTGCTAATGCTGTTTCATGTACAACACTTTCTAACCGTACTGTTTTGCTGCATAATTTAACGTTTTGAAATATGCATATTGACTGTCAAACCATTTACTAAAGCAGAGGAATATTTTATGATTATATAAATTTTACCAATGTGTAATAATGTGCAATAATGTTTTAACAGTAATACCCATATTTTAATGATATTTTGTGTGACCACAGACCAATTGCCTGCGAGTCTGTAGTCAGTGCGAATTGTGTCCTGAGTTTCAAATTGAAATAAACCATTCTACTACTATGTCTTCTAACAACAAAGCAATCTTTCATACACCCACACATCTTTGCAATATGAAAATTAACATTGAGGTGTAGTGACAACCCTTTGATATTCAATATACTTACTGCCTTTAAATAACAATGCGTTCCTATCAATGTAAATCTGAAATATTTCATGCTAGACAAAATGCAACATTGCATAAATTCCACATGTAAATAATGGCAATTCACTTGTTAACATACCTTCGAGAACCACGCTAACATCACAGGTATCGTCGCAGGCCCTAAACCTCACGAGTTCAAACAAGTATGGCGGTTCTTGGTCTGGACCGACTTCGTACTCTGTAATCGGGTACTTGACGTTCTCCGAGGCGGCTTTTTCCACCTCTGGTGTGATGTCATTTGAATCAGCGTCAGTAGCCCCGATGTGGTCTCTGAAGTCGACTTCAACGAAGTTTCGATTCTCAGGTAAGGGTATCTCGACGACTGTGCTTGGACAACGTATGAAACTGCAATTGTTCTGACCTGCACAGTAAAATTTTAACAACATTTTCCGTTGTGTATTTCAGGCCTTTATGACCCATATTGACAAACACACATAGAAAATCATATTTGAAATATGAATAAATATTTCGAGTTGGTTGTGTACATAAAAACAAAAATGAATGTTAATTTTCTGGTGCCTTCATAATTTTTCAGTGATGTTTTGTGTGGAGCATGGCCGTGTATATAAAAGATTACAAGACAAATAAAGCATGTCAAACTATCTAAAGATCGTATATATATATATATATATATATATATATATATATATATATTGATACAAAAGTGATCTTTCATGATTGTGCAACTAATTCAAAAGCATTTTTAAATTTTCTGTGCAACGTGAATATTTATTTTAGTGTTCGCAATGAACAAGAAAAAAAAATGATTTGTAAACCTTTGGAGAAAGAAGTAGTAGACTTTCTTTATACCAATCATAGAGATACTGTCAGTGCAAAAAGTACCTACCAGTAACCCGAGGGGTGCTCACTGGTTGCCTTGCTGTTGTACTATTGGCTGGTGTTGCTCTGGCTGTGAAACTTGTATGGAAACCACTAACTGTAGCTCTGGTGGTTCTCGTTGATTCGTTTGTTGCTGCCTTATCCACAATTGTTGCAGTGGCTGTTGAACTAGTATGTAGATCGCTAGCTGTAGTTCTGGTAGTGCTCTGCGGGGTTTGGGTTGTTGCCTTGTCCACAGTTAGTGATGTGGCAGTAGAATTTGCGTGTAAACTACTAGCTGTAGTAATGGTGGTTCCTTCTAGAGTTTGGGTTGTAGACCTGCCCGCAGTTGATGTTCTGGTAGAAGTATTTTCTGCTGTCCTCAGCGTTTGTGTGGTTGTTGTTGTTATAGCGTTTGTTGGTGCTGTACGAGTAGTTGTGAAACCTGTATGTAAATCACGAGTTGTGGTCCTAGTGGCTCTCTGTAGAGTTTGAGTTGTCTTCCTGTCCACATCTGATGAGGCTGTCGAACTCCCACGTAAATTACTAGCGCTGTTAAATGTTTCTTGTGGAGTTTTGATTGTGGTCCTCAGTGGTCGTCTTGTTATTGTAATGGCTGTTGTTGTGGCTGTAGAATCTTCATGTGCACCGTTAACTGTGGTCCTGGTGGTTGTCTGTGGATTCGGTGTTGTAGCCCTGTCCACAGTCGAGGTCGTGGTTGTTGCGAATGTGGAACTTGTATGCACATGTAAACCACTATCTGTACGTTTTGTCCTTGTTGTTTTCTGAAGAGTTTGACTCGTCGTCCTGTCTACAGCCCTGGTTTCTGACGTCGAAGTTATGTGTAAATCGCCAATTGTGGTCCTTGTAATTGTATGTGGCAGTCCCGCTGTTTTCCCAACAGTTGTCGTTGTAGCTGCCTCTGTAGTTCTCTGTGGAGGGTTTGCTGTTGTCCTGTCCTCAGTTGTTATTGTTGTTGCGGCTGTGGTAGTGTCTGTGATCCTCAGCCGTTGTTTTGTAGTTTGGTCAGATGTTTTAGTGGTTGTGAAAGGTGTATATGCATCGCTAGCTGTTGTCCTGCTTGTTCTGGTTGTTCTCTGTGGTGGTTGTACTGTTGTCCTGTCTATATTTGATGTTGTAGTGTCAGTATTTGTTGTGGCTGTGGAAGGTGTATATAAATTACTAGCTGTTGTCCTGGTGGTTCTGTATGAGGGTTGTAATGTTGTAGTGTCTACATTTGACGTTGTGGTGGTGGCAGTTGTTGCTGTGGCTGTGAAAGGTGTACGTAAACCGCCAGTTGTTGTCCTAGTGGTTCTCTGTTGTGGTTGTAATGTTGTCCTGTCTATATTTGATGTTATGGTGGTGGCAGTTGTTGTTGTGGCCGTGGAAGGTGTATGTAAACTGCTAGCTGTTGTTCTGTTGTCCTCTGTTGTTCTCTGTGGTGGTTTTAATGTTGTCCTGTCTATATTTGATGTTCTGTGTGGAGTTTGTTCTGCTGTGTTCGTGCCAGGCAATGGTACTGTCCTCAGTAGTCGAGTGATAGCTGTAATTCTGGCTGATGTAATGGCTGTAGAAATTGCATGCAAACCGCTAGCTGTGCTCCCGGTGGATCTTTGTGGGCGGTTCGCTGTTGTTCTGTCCATAGTTAATGCTGTGGTTCTGCCTGTTTCTGTGGTCCCCAGTAGTGGTGTTGTGGTTGTAATGTCGGCTATTGGTGTTGTGGCTGTGTACCCTGTATGTAAACCGCTAGCTGTGTTTCTGGTGGTTCTCCGTGGCCGGCTTGCTGTTGTTCTGTCCATAGTTAATGCTGTGGTTCTGCCTGTTTCTGTGGTCCCCAGTAGTTGAGTTGTGGTTGTAATGTCGGCTGTTGATGTTCTCTGTGTTGGGATGGTCCTTGTAAAATCAGCGGTCGTTGTTGTTGTAGTAGTTGTGGAACGTTTATGTGAACCGCTAGCTGTGGTCCTAGTGGTTGCCCTTAACGGGATTGTTGTTATAAAATCGGCTGTCGTTGTTTTACTTGTTGAAAGTTCATGCCGACCGCTAGCTGTGATCCTAGTGGTTGTCTGTGATGGATTTGCTGTTGTAATGTCCCGAGTTTTTGTAGCGGTGCTTCTGCCTGTTGTCCTCTGTGATCGGTTTACAGTTACAAGGTCAGGTGTTGATGTGTCTGTGGGAATTGTACTAAGTAAATTGTTAGCTGTAGTCCTGGTGTTTCTCTGTGATGGGTTTGATGTTGTAATGTCCTTAGCTGTTTTCAGTGTAGCGGTGTTTCTGTCTGTGATCCTCTGAGATCGTTTTACAGTAGTAAAGTCAGGTATTAATGTGGCTGTGGGAGTTGTACTAAGTAAAACGTTAGCTGTGTTCCTGGCGGTTCTCTGTTCAGTTTGGGTTGTTGTCCTACCCACATCTGATGTTCTGGTAGTAGCCTCGTGTGAAGCACTCCTTGTAGAGGTTGTAGAACTGACGCAGTGTGTAGAGTTGATGAGCTGGAAGCCGTCGTCACAGGAACAGGTGTAAGACCCATCGTTGTTGTGACAGTTGTGGTGACAGGCGTGATTCCCATACCAGCATTCATCAATATCTGTGGAAAATGTTGAGAAAATGTATATTTGCTGACTGGTTGATTACCAAACTCACTGGTTATAATATAGATGTACCCTAATTAAATTAGGTTGTTTCTATGTTAGCTTGCTCTCCATTCGTTGATTCATTTCTTTTTACTTGCAATTAGCTAGCGAAACATTCATGTATTACAATGTTTGAATAGCGTTTTAGTTCTATGTATTGTTAAATCTCAAACACTCAATCTCTACGGAAAATATTACCATTCTGCAAAAGATTTTAGTCATTACAAAACAACTTGATTGGTTTCATATACAATTTTTTCTTCTTTTAATCACCTCTTATCTTGCTTGAAAGTATGTTTAAGATTGTTCAGAAACATCTTAGTTACCATGACTGCAATCCCCTCCTTGCCACCCAGGTTCACACTCACAGACGTTAGTGTCCACACAGGTGCCGTGTACACATGGGTTGTAGCAATGGACTGAAATAGGGAATAGCAAAATAAGTTCACCAGGATTTGTGTAGGTATCATCGCAAGGTAAGGGAACTGACAGAACCATTTCTCTGCTACTTTGTTTGCTTTCTTGCTCTTACTTTGACTACGGTCTCCTGTCAATGTTGCGGCAGTATAGAACTTGTATGCAAATCGCTACCTGTGGTCCCTGTGGTTGCTCTCTGTGTTGGCTGTTCTGTTGTACTTTCCGCAGTTGATGTTAGGGTAGTAGCAGTGAGTAAAGCACTCTCTGTGGCCTCTGGTGGAGTATTCACCGTTGTTCTGCTGATGTCGGAGGTTGTAGAGCTGACGCAGTGTGTAGAGTTGATGAGCTGGAAGCCGTCATCACAGGAACAGGAGTAGGAGCCATCGTTGTTGTGACAGTTGTGATGACAAGCGTGGGTCTCATACCAGCATTCATCAATATCTGGGGAAAATGTCCAGAAAAAGTCTAGTCAGGGCTGGTTGCTTCTTAATCTAAGGTTTATAGAGGAATAACTTTCCTCTAGCTGCCCATGGCCACCGGTGGGTGGGATATTCGTCCAGGAGAGAGCGGAGTACATAAAAACATTACAATACATCAGCATACAATTACATAAAGTTAAATTACATTACAAGGTAGTCAGAATTTACTGTTAGATTTCAATTACAACATTCAAATAATTATAATATTTAATGATTTAAATGATCTTCATTATTTAACTGATCTATTAGTCGTTTCGATACGTGTGATAAGTTCTTTAAATAACGTGCTTGAGGCGTAGGTCTTCACAAACTCGGGGCCTTTAGCTTTTTTTATACGTCCCATCTTAGAGGACCTCTCTATAAGTTACAAACCATATTGCCATAATTTAACAATTGAGGGAGGGGGGCTCAAGTATCAGGAGGACTACCTCTTTAACATTTTTAGATTTTTTTTCTTAAAGGAGACGTACTTTTCTTTGCTTGTTTGAGAAGAATAAACTAATACTCTGTCACTAGATCATCTCACCATAACTGCAATCTCCTCCTTCCCACCCAGGCTCACACTCACAGACATTAGTGTCCACACAGGTGCCGTGTACACATGGGTAGTAGCAGTGTGGCGCTGAAATATGGAGTAAAGCGTTACTTAGGCCATGTTGATTTGGTCATATTAATGGCATCCTCAACCCAAAAAACTGATGCGAGCGTGTGAATATAAAAGTTTGGCAAAAAAAGTTAAAATCAACGTGGTCATGAAGGTTAAACAAATGACACAGAGTATGGTATGAAGAATAATCTACGATTCAAATTTATTTCTTTACATTGTCGTCTATTTGTTCGATTTTGGAACTCTACGGCATTGGTATAGGTATCCTTTTTTTTTTGCAACTTACGGCATATATTTTCTTATTCTGCAACTGATTTGCAGGATGTCAGTGTGCGTGGAATGTTTTTTTTTTTTTAATTTGCCGAAAATTCATGTGCGCGCGGATGTCATCTATATAATCAAATCAACATGGCCTTACATAACAAATAGGTGAAGCCTTAATGGTTGTAATTTAACCATAGAGGTTAAAGCATAGACATTACGCAATTTCTGACACTCGCTCAGGTAACGTAAAACTGTAGGCTGAATGATGTAAATATGGAGATACATAATGAAAAGTAATTGAAATCTCAATACCTTTGCAAGAATCTTCAACTCTGCTCCATCCAGCGCAGCATCCGCGTTCAATAAAGTATTCGATGACGTAATGAACCCCCCTTACTGACCTGTAAAGTATTGTGATAAATGTTACTATTACCTTCCCTTTACACAACGCAATATTTACTTAAAGTAAATAAGATCGTTGGCATTGTTCGGACACAATGGCACGATAAGACGCCTGAATCCTCTACGAACATTTTAGATAAATCCCTCCCTTAGTCAGGCACGTAAAGTAATATGGCAAAGCTTTGGTCCCAATTGAAAAAAAGGGGCCTGGCGGGTAGTTCCCGGGTTGTTTTTGGCAATTTCGGGCGTGACCCCTACGTGGCCCCGTAGGAAACCCCGCGGCTGAGTACCGGGCTATTTTTGGCCCGTCCGGGACTCGAGAAAACTTTAATTATGACATGAAGTCTGAGGTTAGCTGCTGTGTCATTGTGACTGGTAACAGGTTCACCATGTGTGGTGTCACGCATGGGTGTACGTGTATGGGGGCCTTTTGACAAGCGACATAAACATTGAGGTGTTTACATTGGCGTCAGATTGTGGACTCTACCTAAATAATCTGTCCCAGGCCCTGTACACGCCTGGCATCCCTGCAGGCTACTCTTGGGTTAGCTTCTGTGTCATTGTGACTGCTAACATGTGCACCATGCCGTTGTGTGGTGTCACGCAAGGGTGTACGTGTATGGGGGGGCCTTTTGACAAGCGACATAAATAGCCACGTGTTTACATTGGCGTCAGACTGTGGACTCTAACCAAATAATCTACGTCAATCTGCCATACCGTGAGCGGTCAGGTTAGTGTAAAACACACGCCTATACGTGGTCAGACTCATTACCTACTAACATTCCAATGCGGGTGCTGAGCACAAGGGGGGTCGTATTGATGGCAGAGTGTTCGACTCGGAATCAACAGGTCCCGGGTTCCGTGTCCCTACATGTCTCCGATCTTTTGCCATTGGAAAAGGCACTTGACACGACTTTCCTCACTTAACTCAAGTGAAAATGAGTATTGTCCTGTCCTGTATTTGGCCTTTGCGTTGGTGGCGGCATAAAATAAGTTGATCTAACTTGAATGTGCCGTCACCATGTCTAGTCATGAAATGCTGGAATAATAAATTAAAATAGAATGTTCCACAATGTCTCCAGCTTACAGAAATACCATGTACCATCCAAGCTGCAGTTTTCACAACTTGCCAGTTTGTCAAAAAGACAGGCAATGATTGTTAGCACACTATAATATTCGAACTCATATATCTTATCTAGTCCTTTTTCTAATTATCTGACCACTGAGGCACCACAGAACGAATGACAACCAGTATTCTATTCTCCTACCTTAACGTTTATGTATGTCCATTTTCTGATCCCAGGTTTCCATTGCCAGTATCCTTCTTTTTGCCGCCATGACACTTATTTATTTGCATAATAGGTTTGGTTAGTCAAAATGACCGCGACCCGTGACAATACCACTTCAGTTATTGTTTCTGTACTGTTGTTAGAAACCACCCTGCTATACATTTTTTCTCTATGTGTGTGCCAAAGGCTGATAGTATATTTACATGAGTTAAATGGCGGTACTTACAACTTACAATTTGTGCGGGTGAAGGCTTACATTTATGTGTACTGTGCGGCACATACAACTGACATTTTCTGTGGTGGAAGGATTACATATGTGTACCTATGAGTTGTTAAAGCTGACCTGATCAAATCACGCCTGCCTCGCTCTCCCACTGCGACTTGCCGTGATCTGGTAAACGTGCAGATGCTTCCTTCCGGCCTGTGATAAAACAAGAATTATTTCAGTAAACCAGTGTAAAGACTGACCCCTGTACGAATATATAACAGTTAAGAGGACGCTCTTCACATATTCATAACAAAAATGCACAGTAACAAATTCTTAAAAATACTTAAAGATTTACCGGTTGTTAGTAAATGCCCAAAAGCGGAACTATAACTCATTCAGGAAACGAACTTTGCATACTTTCGGCCAATGCATGTCCGTCGTTTGACTCCAGAACCATGACAGTATATGGATCTCAACCTTAACATACCGCCTAAAATACAACTCTAGTGACCACACCAACTATTTAGTAAACCCGTGTTGAGTTGTAATCAAAGTTCACTTACCCCTGTAATGCTGTCTGAGTCATTGACGACACAAGTATTGTCGCCAAAATGAAGGCAGCCGTCAAAAACATGGACATCGTCTATCGCGTGTTCAGTCTTTTGTGGCGAGAGACAGGCGCTATGCAAATGTGCATTTCTGTGACTCAATAGACCTCGACAAAATCTCTGTTGTAGACTGGCAAGGGGGCAAGACGAGCGGCCGACCAAGCACAAC